AACACTCCCCTGCTCGGATTGCGGCTTGATCCTACGATCTGACCATGCTGGCTAGCCCAGTGTGCCGTGCTCGATGCTGCAAGATCGTGACCAAAAGATTCGAAGATTGTGCATGGCACTTTGTACCGCTAGCTGCATTATAGGTTGAACCCACTTTGGACCCACGCAGGTTCGACGACTTCTATCCTACGAGATGAACTGGATCGGGCGTCACTCGGCTCTCAGTTTACGGCATTGTTTGTTGCTATGGTTGTCGTGCTCTGATGATACAGCCGATCGAGTGTCCCTCGCAACTTGAGGCTGGCAAAAACCATTGGTCGTGGCTATGCATCAGTGAAGCATGCTGCAGAGATTGGTGGGGCGCTGGACAGCAACTTGTTGAAATCGATGCATGGTTTAAATTTAGACTTACTCTTAAACTTACTCTTAAAGTTACGTTCCCACCCAAGCACCTCAACGTACATGATGCTCGTCGTTCGGTGTGTCGAACCTCAGGAGCAGAGAGCAAGGACTTCATGAGCGAGCTGCAAAGCAGGGGCTGTCTTTGGATTGCGAGGTTTCACAGGTTCGGCTTCCGATGCTGGACGATGAACAAAACGTAGTCTGGCGAGACTGGCCGATGCTTTTGCCGCACAAACTCGAGCTTAGGCTGCAGCTGGGAGGTGCTGATATGTTTATATACTCTTCTGATGTGCACAAAGCAAGGTTGCTGCAATGGCCCGTCGTGGTCATCTTGATATGCTGGTGGCTGACTGGAATATGGTTCCCGGCTACTGGAAATGTTTTCTTCGCGAGCACCCCGGCCACCCTGCGAGCAATAAAATGAACAACTCCATCCCATGCACCCTCTACTGCTTCTTGAGTTATAAGAAAGCTTTTCCAGGTATGGGGACGTAGGTTTGCATGTTACAATTAATCAACCTTGTCTGGTCGGCTTTTTAGGAAATTTTTGGGCACAGGTGATGAAGCAACTGCTGTGAACGAGCAATGGATGTTTCTTATGTTTACAAGCGACCTACACCCGGCACCGGAAGACTCTGCCTCATCACGATTCTTGTGTGCAATCATACCTGCATCAAGGTATGTTTTGACTGTTGATAAAACAAATCTAACTCTGCAAGCAGCCTGCTGGGAGATTACACAAAGCTTCAACAAGCTTTCGAATGAGGGTCTGGTTTTACAGGATATGCCTTCGATGGGAGGAGGACCTGTGCTCTGACTGCCGTATAAGCAAATGTACTTTAATCAGAATCAGACCTTTAGTATAGGATTTGGGTTTGGGGATTCGAATATATTCCACTCATAACCTATACCAGGTGATCCGCCTGCATTTCTTCGTGGCTGGCTTTCGCGGGGACTGGAAGGCTCTGCGACAGGCCTTCAATTTCAATCGGTATGCCGACCGAGACAAGGCACGCCCGACTGGGATTTGAGTACCGCACGAACAATTAAGTAGTTCTAGGTGTAGCGGATTCAATACCATTAAATAATTATATTAACAATAGAGAATACGGGGGATCCTTCAGCTAGCATAGGTCATTGAACCCCATAAATGAATAACCTTTTTGTGCTGCATTCCCTGTGCAAGATATGCTGGATGTGCGAAGCGACCAAAGGTGCTGAGGATGAGACATATGTGTTTACAAATCTTCATACAGCGCCATACATGGAGACTTTTTTGGCCGAAGAGCCCTGGACCTTGCGACCAGCTTATCACAGTTTGGCGGGCTTTCATGTAAGCCTTATCTTTCCTGATATTTTGCATGCCTACCACCTGGGCTGTGGAAGGGATCTCCTGGGGTCAGCTCTTTTTGAGATGGTTGCGGCCGGCTATTTTGGGGCGGGAACCATCCCGGCTAGGCTGGCTGAGGCTACACGTCGACTCAAGCTGTATGCCAAAACAAACAAGCTGAACCTTCGCTTGAAGAAGCTGACGAAGACCAAGCTGAACTGGTCGACTGCAAAGTACCCAGAATTGAACCGAGGCTGCAATCCTGGTTTTCTCTGAATATCTATGTAATGACACTAGTCGGTACTGAGCGTTAAACTGGCACAGATCCTTCAGTAGGTCTACACACACGCCACCCCCCCCCCCCTCCCAGGAAGAGTTCTGGCTTCGACACGTACATCGTGCAGCAGTGGGTGCTGCATGAGATCAGTTCCGTCAGGGACCCGGGTTTGGATGGAAACTTGGTTCTGGCACTGTGGGCGAGCAATCATTGCATCTCGCTGTGGTCGAATGCAGGACGGCGTTGGCTGACAAGTGGTGAGGTGCAGACAGTTCAAAAGTGTGGCATGGTTTATATGAAATGCTATATCGCTTTGGCCGAGAAAGCGCTTCGCGAGCAGCAGCGTTTGTACCGTGTCCGCCCAAAGCTACACTTAATGCACCACCTTTTTGTGAGCTATGGTCATGCAAATCCACACTGTTATAGTACCTGGATGGACGAGGATGCGCTTAAGCATCTTATGCGAACTCTGCGTTGTACAGACCGAAGGACAGCCGAAGAACGTTTGCTGTTAC